TTTTCACTATTCTGTTGCTACACGCTGAGCAGGGCAGTGATGCTTTGGTCTTGGCTGATAAGGCTGTTGCCATTTTTCCATCGACCATGGTTATTTCAATGACATGCAATTTATTAATGTTATTCCATTGAGTTGGTTCAAGGTTTCCATTTCTATTTAAAAACTCTTCTGATGATGCAGCTATTGCTTTTTTAATAAATTTAAAACACGTAAGACGACAGTTCAATGTTGAAAATGGCTTATAGTTGTACCAAATTATTTTTTTTACAGTCATCAATAAAACAAAATAGTTCCAGTGGAACAAGGCAAGTGAAAAATAGACTTTGTTTATTTTCAAGGTGTCTATCACCATCAATTTATTTCATCATCGTCTGGTTGTTTATGGGCTTCCTAGTACTACCATCAAATCCAATTTTGTGTTGCAATGTAAGCCGTTTAAGTGATGCTAGAACATACAACAGCCACAAACAAGATATTGTCTAAAATGTATTATCTAAAAGCCCTTGCAGACTTACTTCAGCTGAATAGACTGATACTACAATTTCTGTTCCTGGAAGCATGCATTTTTTTTTTTTATCTCTTAGAGAGTTCTAAGTTGGATAAAAGTTAGAACCAACATTCTGGCTTCATTTCTCAATGTTTAGTAGTCCTGCTTAGTTAACTCACAATCCAGTAAAATAGTTAATGTTTTTTGCGGGAGAATATGGTGTAGCCACTGAGCAAGATATTTGACTCGGCTATTAGCATTTAACCTAGTTGTGCATCTTTTGGCCTGCTTTCTTGCTTTAAAAGATAAACCCATGGACTTTTTTTAAATACTGTGTTAGTGTATTTTATGCAATTCTCTATCTTTTTTTATAACTTTTGGTGAACTCATTCAATTTTTCATTGCTGATACAAAACATATTCTCTTTTTTTGAAACTTTTGAAATTTAATTAGGGTAAAAATTGTTTATGAGCATTAGAGTTAAAAATACTAATAATGTTTTTTCGTAAAAAAGTATGCAAATTTTGTAGTCTTCGTATCTAAAAAATGATAATGTTTTATTGTATATGTATTACTTCTAATTTGAATAATTTTACTATTTTTTAAATAAACCTTTTATTAGATTATAGCCTAGAGTTTTCAAATTTATTTATTTATTGCTAATAATAGTCCGGTCGCCGCCGGTAAAAAAAAAACATGTCAAATTGCATTTAATGCAAAGCCTGAATTTAGGTCTGCAAAACCAAGTATTTTGGCTTCAATGTGTGACTATTAATTCGTTGCCCTAACCGCCCCAAATAAAATATTTTGATATAAGTCCGTTAAAATTACGGATTTATTTCGTTTCTGCAACAAACAATTCGTTGAAATAGAAAATTTATTAAACTTGCTGTTTTGTTAAAATAAAAGATTTAATACGCTCTCGTAGTAAATAATTTATTCCCTTTATTAAAATTAGACTGTTAAGAAATTAAGACATTTCAAAATAATCCTTATTTTTAATTAATAGATAATTTTATATTGATATTCTACATCTATTTTATAGATTATTTTATGATATTTTACGTCTGATACAAGCAGTACTACTTATACCAACTAACATGATTGGGAGATTTTAAGCAAGGTTTAAAAACGCTTTAACTTAAAAATTGAAAACTAATTAAATATCTATAATAATTTAGTTCAATATAAAAACTTTAAATTACAAAAATAAAAAAATTCAAATAAATACATAAAAAGTTTTTTTATATATACTTTTAATACAGTTATTATTATATTCAAGGTCAAAAAACATTTAAATGACATACAATATGTATACAAAATTATATGCAACTTTGTTCTATACTACGTTTTAATATTTAATACTGTTGTAAATTCATATGTGTGAATTTTTAATTCCAGCAACCTGTTGTAGATTCCTTAAAGATAAACAAAGCTTAAAACACAATAAAGAAAAATGTTAATTATAAATAATATACCATAATATAAAATGAAAATAAATTTTTACTAATAACTTTGTAAGATAAAAATAAAAATAATAAGTTCTAAAATTTTTACAAACATCAATAGCTGTCAAGAATAAAATAAATAAAAAGTCTATCACCTTTTAATTTAATAATAATTATCACGTTAAAAGTATCAATATTAGAATTTAAATTTGATACCTCATGACTGAATGTCAAATGCCTAAAGTAGCAAGTTCTATCAAACTGAACTCATTATTTTTAAACTGAACTCATTATTTTCAAATCTAATCAATCTAAAATGTGTAAAAACCTAAACTTTAGACTAAGTGGACAAAATATTTTTCCCTTACTTTCATTAAAATATCTTGGAATCCAAATTGACTCAGATCTATCCTTTTCCTCTCATCTTAAAAACTTAGCAGTAAAATTGTGTAGATCAAATGGGATGCTAGCCAAAATTCGCCACTATGTCAATTATGAAACACTACTTAATATATACCATGCAATTTTTGGATCTCATCTTAGATACGCTTGTCAGGTTTGGGAACAATGCAAGTCTAATGCTTTTTTAAGGTTATGTAACCTACAAAACAAAGCTTTAAAAATAATATTCTTTCAACAGTATCATTCTAACTCTGACATCCTTTACTTTCTATCAAAAATACTCAAATTATGTGATCTTGTCTATTAAATTGTCTATTTGTCTGGAATCATAAACAAGTAAACCTCCCTCCGTCATTCTCCAATTTTTTTACCACTAAAAAAAGTTCTCGTTATTACCTTCGATCTTTGAGTAACTTTAAATTATCTATCCTAAATCGCTGTTCGGTAAAATACGGTGATAATTCTATTAAAACCAATGCGTAAAATCATGGAATAATTTACCTTTTCATTTTCAATCCCTCAACACTTTTTCACATTTTAAAACCCGTCTTTTTGATTTTTTGATAGAAAAATACGCAAATTAAAATCTTAGGCTTATAATAGATTATTATTACTATTGTTATTAGTATTATTATTATATATGATGTTAATATTACTTACATTTTATTTGCATTTTTATTACCGTCATTATTACTTACTATTATTGCTATTATTGCTATTATTATTACTATTATTATTATTGCTATTATTATTATAGCAATTATTATTATTGCTATTATCATTATTATTATTATTATTATTATTATATGATTGCTATTATTATTTAATTGGTGTTTACCTTTGATTAGTACTCGTACTATTAGTAAACTACCATGAAATGTAAACTATTATTTCAGAATATATATATTGTTATACAAATATAAACAACAATATATAAACTTAGTTGAAACTAACATAAAAAAGTAGCAAATGAAAAAAAAATTGTTTTACAACTAATTTAAACTTACAATGTAATATAACATGACATGTGTCTAAAATAGTAAATTATAAAAACATATAAACAAGCCATATGTAAAGTTAGCTGCAACTAAATAAATATACCCATTAAACGGTAGCACAACTTTTAATTTTACAACTTTATTAAACTTACAGTGTGATATAGCATGACACGTGTCTAAAATAGCAATTTATAAAAGCATATACAAACTTAAATATACAAATTAAAACAATCCATATATAAACTTAGCTGTAACAAGCCTAAATAAATACCCTTTAAAAAAAATTGCAAGTAAACATTTTACAACTGATTTATTTTACAATTGATAAAACTTAGAGTGTGATATTACATGAAATGTGCCTAAAATAGTCAATTATAAATATATATAAACAAACAATATGTAAGGTCAGCTGCAACTAGTCTAAATAAATATACCCATCAAACGAAATGCAAGTAAACATTTTTAATTTTGAAAAACTGAATTAAACTTACCGTGTGATATAGCATAATATGTGTCTAAAGTAGCAATTTATTTATTTAATCCGTTGAGTTGACGAAATTTCGAAGAATCCGTAAATAGTTAATTTTACTCCGTTAATTTTGTGATTTTTGGTTACGAATTAATTCGTTAATTTAACGGATAAAAGCAATCTGTTACATTTTCTAACGGATTGTTTTTAGAGTGTAATCATATAATGAAAAGAAAAAAGTAAAAATGATATAATTTTTAATTCGTGCTGTTGATGACTTCGTAGTTAACTAACTAACTAGCGTAGTTAACTTCGTTAGTTAACTAGTTAACTTCGTAGTTAACTAACTAACTAAACTAACGTAGTATATAAAATCTACTTTTTTTATATATATAGCGTTTCATGGACAGTTTAGCAGTTATCCTAAGCCAACTCTCTGGAGCACCATTAAAGAATCTTCTCCTAACGGAAACTCCGCAGAGAGGGACTATGCTGATTTATTTGAAAGAAGAAATCTGCTCAGCTAAAAATCTATATTTTTTTAAATTTAATTAGCAAATTTTTTTAAATTTTTTTTAAAGAGGGTAAAAAATTATATAATATATATATATATATATATAAATATATTTTTATTTTGTACATAAACAAATTGTTAGTTTAGTTTTCTAAATAAAATGAAAGAATATGTGAAAATAGTTTCTTCTATTAACCGTTAAATGATTTTGTTAGTATTTAACTTTTATACGGTTTAGTTAGTGTTCACCGTAAATTGATTTAGTACGGGGTCGTCCGAAAATTAATTACGCCAAAAATTCAGAAATTTTTATTTACAGACCAACATAAACAAAAATATGAAAAAGCTAATTTCGGTATTGTTGAAATTAACAAAGTGTTTGAAACAATTTTTTGTTTTTCGTTATCCAACACTTTGCTTTTCACGCCGTTAAAAAAATCTCAACACGCCTGTAAAAAATCTCAAAAAGTAATAAAATTATTTTATCAATACTTATAATATTAGTGGAGTTGAATAAAACTCTTTTACTTTTTTACAAAGAAAAAAATATTATTCAAAAATGGGCTTCACTCGTATAAGCGATAAGTTAACTCGCAAAGTTAACTTATCGCTCCTTTATTCATTCTTCCTTATCTTTTTACGGAGCAAATCCAATTTTCTTTTGGCTTTTTTTAGCTATTTTTATCGGTAACCGTAGCATCTACCGTTTCGCCTATATTTTTTTATTTTTACTGTCATTATATTATTTACTGTTTGAGTTAAGAAAAAGTTTGTTAATAGGTGTTGTTTCAAAATTTGTGGGTAGTTGTAAAAAATTGCATAAACTAATAAATACTTTTTAAATTATTACTTTATCAAACGCTTTTTGCAGATCCTATATATATATATATATATATATATATATATATATATATATATATATATATATATATATATATATATATATATATATATATATATATATATATATATATATATAAATATATATATATATATATATATATATATATATATATATATATATATATATATATATATATATATATATCTTGACTAAGACTCGTTTTTTACGGACTTAATAAAGAGGGATGAAAAAAATATCCACCCTAAGTAAAATTCATTTTTAATAGATTCGTCATTAAAACAACTTTTTTATAGAATATGGGTCATTTTTTTAAAAAAATAAAGGAATAGTATATATATCCTCGACTCCTCTATACCATACACCATTTTATGTTAGCAAACTTAGGACCTTTATTCATAAAAAAACTTTTCAATTGGTTAGCTGGAAAATTATGGATAATGCGTTGTCTATGATGGTTCTAGGAAAAAATCCCACGGGAAAAAATCCCCCGAGAAAAAATCCCATGAAATAATCCCCCGAGAAAAATTCCCCCCGAGAAAAAATCCCCCCGGAAAATATCCCCCAAAGAAATTTTTTTTTTTTTTTTAATCAAAAATTATCGATAAAATAGTTATATTTAGTTGTTTTAAATAGTTTTATAAAATACTTCATTTTTCATCAAAATGTCAAGTTATGCGCTATTCCTCGGTTTTCGGTAAAATGCGAACTGCGAACCGCGAACTGCGAACCGGTAAAATGCGAACTTTTTTGCGAAACAAAACATTATATTTTAAAGACCATTATTTTTATGATTAAAATAATTAAAAAAAAAACTCTCCAATTCTTAATTATCTATTTTAAAGCTTTATTTAAAATAAAATTTTTATTTTTTAACTGTAAAGCATGCGCGGAGTGTTGCTACATCGACTTTCTTATAGACTTACTCGCAACGGAGTGCTGCTACATCGACTGACTAATAATCCCGCTAAATTAACTATTTAACGGTTTAAAATAAAGTATTACATCATTAACAACCAATATGACGATGGTTCGCAAAAAAGTTCACATTTTACCAGTTAACAATACGTCTGGGTTATGGTTAGGGTTAGGGTTAGGTTTCACATTCGCTACCTTCGAGGAATAGCGCATAACTTGATATTTTGATGAAAAATGAAGTATTTTATATAAATATTTAAAAGAAATAAAGAAATAAACATAACTACATATTGATGGTTTTTAAGTACAAAAAAAATATTTTTTTTTTTTTTGGGGGGGGGGGGTATTTTCTCAGGGGATTTGTTCGAGGGGATTTTTTCCTAGAACCACCATAAAGTCTTTAAATGAGTTTAATATGGTTTTTAACAGCACATTAAAAGCCATCATTTGTACGTAACTATAAATAAAATTTGTCGCCAAATGTATTACAAAATCTTTATTGTATGAAACCTAAAAGCAAATATAATCTTCGAATTAATAACAATCTTATTATTAATTCGAAGATTATATGCCCCTTTTTGTTGTAAATACAACGACCAGTTTTTTGTTTCTTATCGAGGTCCTTATCTCTGGAACAAAACAGTCTTACCAAATTTTGATTTTTCTACCCAACTGACTTTTGCTTCATTCAAACAGAAATTTAAAAAAATTATATTTTCAATTGAAAATATCTTGATTTACTTTTAATTGCTTTTTTGTTGTTGTTGTTGTTGTTGTTGTTTTATTTTGCATATTATTTGGTTTAACATTTTATCTTGGCTTTTTAACATTTTATTTTGGTTTTTAAATATTTTTGCATAAAGGTGTGTTATTATTATTTCACTTCAGACATAGTATTTTTATTAAAAATTAACTATATATTGTGAAGGGCTTCATGACAAGATCCTCATGATCTTCTAGAAGTCCTGTAGTTACTAATGTAAAAATTGTAAAGTATATTTAGTTGTTGTAATATTAAACGGTAAAATTTTAAAAATATATATATACCTATATATTAGTTAAAGATGCTGTTGATTAAGTAATTCTAATCGGTTTGGTGATAAAAGGAATCGCCAGTTTTTTTAAATTATAAAACCTTTTTACTTTGCTTTAGACCACGCGATACTTGTATTTTAAATCAATTTAAACTCAAATCTTGTATTTAAATTTATATTTTCATAGATAACATATTTTTAAACCATTTTATTTATATGTATACAAATACACTTTACATACATTTTATTTATATGTATACAAAATACATTTTATTTATATGTATACAAGCTATGGAACTCTTTTCTAAAAGACAATTTAAATATGGCAAAATCTTTAACTTCATTTCAGTTTCAAACAAAAACTTACGTTCTAAATCTTACGGATTAATTTTTATTTTTGTTTACAAAAAATTTTTTTTAGCATTATATCTGATTATTTAACAGTTTGCATTTTTAAATATTATATACAATCTTTATATATTATATGTTGAATATAATATCATATATTTAATTGGAAATTTGTATTTAAATATATTCTTTTATAACTTTTTGTGACTATTAGTATTTATTAATATTATATCTTTTTAACTATATATATATATATATATATATATATATATATATATATATATATATATATATATATATATATATATATATATATATATATATATATATATATATATATATATATATATATATATATATATATATATATATATATATATATATATATTACTATAAAGAAATAAAGAAATAATACATCTTCTTTTTTCTCTATTTTTATTCTTAAATATTATATCTTCTTTTTTACTATTTCTTTTTTTTTTCCTAAATTTTCTACTTGATTTATTAACCATATATTACCATATATTATTGTTATGATATGCAGGGGCTCTATGAAAAGATTAGGTTGGTATTTTGCCATCCATATCTTTTTTGAGCTCCTGACTGTTTATTACTTGTACATTTGTAATTATATTTTATTTTTGGTGAAAGGAAATTGTAATTTATATAAACAGCAAAATAAAATAAAATTTAAAAAAAAAAAAAAAAAAAATATGTTAAATAAATAAAATTTTTATATATATGTTAAAAAAATAAAGTAATGTTTTTATGTTTAAAAAAAAATAAAATATTTCTTCTGTTTTATTATGTTATTTTAGAAAAATAATTATACTTTTCTAAAATAAGATGCTTAAACAGGAGAATTAGGTATCTCAACTATATATTTATTGATTTTTTAGATATATGCCCAAAAAATACAAAACTATATTTGTCAAATAAACTTATTAAACTCAAACTTTAAAAAATGTTTAAGAATAACATGAGCATCACAAATTTTAATGACTTTATTATTTACCTATACTTAATGGCTTGACAATTAGACTATTTTTGTCTACTTCTTGTCCCCGCCATTTGTATATTTTACAAAAGAAAATTAATCATTTATAACGGCAAACTTAGAAAAATAAAAAATTATAAAAATTAAAAATCAATTACTGCATTAAAGATGCAAATCTTTTTAAAATTTTAAAATTTATTAAACTAAATTAGCACCATAAATTTAAAAATCTAGTCCATTTAACAATATTAAGAATTTCAATGTCTTTATCATACTTTCATTGAAAACATATATTCTCTTAAAGTGACCTACAATTTTCTTGATATATTTTATAAAATCGGAACGGAATTTTAACTTGAATTATGAATTATTTTGAAAGAAAATAATATATACAAATATATATATCGAATCACATCCAGTTTATAACCAAAAACAGAAAACTTTTGTCATTTTTATTACTATATTTTAATCATTTCTTTTTCTTTTTTTTTTTTAATTGTATTTTTTAACATTTTAAAATTAAATGCTTTTGCTTATATATTACGGATTATTATATATTACAAATATTTATTTGCGTTACTATTGGGGCTCGGTGATAAGGCTATTTTATGCCTTCTTCTTGCTCCAGCCAATTGTACTTTTTATATTGTTGTACTTTGTGAATATTTTTAACAGTGAAATAAACTAATAAACTAAACTAAACTATCTGCAATAAAATAAAAAAGTCATTTGATTACTTATTCACGAAAAAAGAAGTAAATTAACTTTCGCTCCGAACATTTGAATGAGGAACAAAATTTGGTTGTCAGACGAACTTATAACTTTATTAAAAAAAATATTATAAATCCCCTAAATAATTGAGGAGGTTGCTCAAAATTTATATGGTCATAGTTTTTGAACACTGAGATATTATTGCATTCAGAGTTGGACTTGTCCGCCGGGATGCCGGGGGAAGCCCCGGTGGGCCGCTAATATCTTACTTACAATGGGCCACTAATATAAATCGCAGTTGCTGCTACATAGGAACAATAAAAATATATGGAGGAAAAATTATTTGTAAATTAAGAGAGTGGATATCATTTTAAATTTTTTAAATTAATCTTGCTGATATTTATTTCAGTTATTTAAAAGTTTTTTAAAAAAGACTGTTTGGTCTGGTTTATTGTTCTTGCAAAAAAAATGAGTCTGCAATTTGCAATTTTATTCTTTTTTTTTTTTTTTTTTTTTTTAAACATGTTTATTTCACAACTACGAAGTATTTACAATTGACCAATCATCGATTGGCGAATAAAGATATACAAATATAAATATCGTAAACATAAAGTCCAAAATAAATAAGAGATAAATCTAAAATATTGTTACATTCAACTTTGAGACTTGATAAAAATAAATACAAAGTACACAATAGAATAACGTGAACGTAAAAATTATCCAAGAAATAAACCTTTTATATTCTTTCAATCAGAATAAAATATATATATATATATATATATATATATATATATATATATATGTACATATATATAAAAGTATGATAAAAACAAGATTTGTATAAGAATTAAGAAAATAATTAATTGTTTGTAGTTATAGGAAGCTCGCAGAAGACTGGGATCAGTCTTGTCATCGAGTACCTTTTAGACGTGTAATACACATAAAAATCAGTTGCATACTTGGCAAATATGTATGTGATACATATATGCCTAAAAATTATTAATGTTACTAACTCCTTTTAGTATTATTTTTGTTAATTTCTTTGAAAAGTTACATTTTTTGATTTATTAGGGTTGTTTTATATTATTTTAAATTTTTAAATTTTAAATTGGAGTTTAAAAAAACTCTTTGTAGTGGTTTAACTTGATTATTGTAGATTTTAACTTTCTTTTTAGGGACTGTTCGTTGTTTAAATTTATTAGCGATTCGTTTCTAGAAATTATTTTGTTAAATAAATAGGGACCACGATGTTTTATTGAAAACTTTGAGAGTTTAGTTTTTTCAAAGGGTATCTTAAAGTTTCCCGTTGCTCTTGTATTGTACTTGTTTACGTTGTTTTCAAAAAAGTGTGCTGTAAAATGTTCTGGAACCAGACTTAGTTTATATTTAAACATGAAAAGTATATTTTGATAAATATTAATTTGAAAAATATTTAAAGCGTTCATTTGCTCCAGTAGGGGTTGAGCATGAGTAAGTTTGTTTTTGTTGAACACTAGCCTTGAAGCGTGCTTTTGACGCAGATAAAGCGGTTTTAATTTAGTTATGTGGGTACTGCCCCATGCTATATTGGCATACATAAGATAGCTATGTATAAATGAAAAATAAACGAGTATTAGACTTTTTTGTGTCAAGAAAGATCTTGCTTTATAAAGTAGACCTATGTTCTTTGATATTTTTGTATTTATATAGTTGATGTGGGGCTTCCAAGAGATGTGTTCATCAATTAGAACACCTAAAAACTTTGTGTTTTGAGCTCTTTCAATGGATATATTTTCTATAGTAATTGTTGGTAGGTTAAGGGGAAGCTTTTTAATTTGTTGAGTAGAGTGGAATAGAATATATTTAGTTTAATCTATATTGAGTGATAGTTTGTTTGATTTAAACCATATATTAATTTTTTTTAATTCATTATTTGTTTTTTTAAACAAGTCTTCAATAGACTTTGATGAGTAAAATAAGTTTGTATCATCGGCAAAAATTATAGTTTTGAAAATATTAGAGGCATTTGGGAGATCGTTAATGTAAATAAGAAACAAAAGAGGAGCAAGAATGGACCCTTGGGGTACACCACATTTTGTTTTCAGTAAATTCGAGTTGCTTTTTTTATCTATAACAACACACTGGTGTCTGTCATTAAGGTAGTTTTTAAATCAAGTTAAAGCTTTATTTTTAAAGCCATAATTTTCCATTTTTGTCAGTAAAATCTCATGGTTGACGGTGTCTAACCTCTGTATTTTGGCTTCTTTTATTCATTGTGGTTGTTAAAAACCAATCTAACCAAAATGAAAGTTATTTCTGGAAATGACTTACTAGAATAATTGTTAGATAATAGAATAATAAAGGAATAATTGAGGAATGAATTTGCTTAACCAGATAATTAATTTTTTTTTCTTTCTGAGATAATGGCAAAAAAATGTTTTCCAGTCTGATTTAAAACGGCATTTATTAAACATAGACTTCGATATATTAGATTTCAAATACATATTTTGAAAATAATTTTATTGTTTGAATCAAAAAGTTATTTTATTTTTATTATAAGTTATTTTAAACCTGTACTATATTTCTTAAACCTTTTTATTACATTTCTTAAACTTTTTTACTAAATTTCTTCAACTTTTTTACTACATTTCATTAACTTTTTTACATTTCTTTTTTTTTTTTTAATTTTGTTTTGTTTTTGTTGTGCTTTTGTTGATATTAAGTAATTAGTTATAATATTTATTTACATTTCGTTACTTATAATAAAACACAAAGCAATTTTTGTGGAATGATCAGGCTTGTGGAGCCGACTGTTTTTTTTACGGCTCGGCTCCGGCTACGGATCCTAAGAAATATCCGGCTCCGGCTTGGCTCCCGGCTCGGCTCCGACTTCCGAACTTTATGAACAAAAATCGCAAGTTTTGGAAATTTTTTTGATCACATTTGCCGACCCATAACTATACTAACTACAAAAATTAATTTTTAACCAACTCTCATGATAACACGGTTATTGTATTACTATCACTAGTCTAATCAACTACCGGATATTACCTTTGAAAAGAAAAAATGTTTTGGGTAAACAAACACTTTTTACCCATATATATTTTTTACCCAAAACTAGAGTTTTTAGTCCGAATTTTAATTCTAATTCTACCCAAGGAGCACGTACCTAAAAAAGACGTCTTTTGAAAGCCCAAAGACATCCAAAACGTTCAAAAGGCATCCGAAAACTTTCTAAAGACGTTTAAAAGACCTCTTTTGTGTGTCCCGTGCCCACTGGGTAAAACATGCAATCGTTAAATTCAAAACGATAAAAAATTCACAAAAAAAAAGAAGTAGTTCAACTAATGCAAAAACTTCAATATTTATTTTAATCTAAGGAACTTAAAGATTATAAAGGTGCTTTTTATTTTAATAATTTCCATTATTTTGAATAGCGAACATTTACGCTAATTGACGACATCAACTTCTGTGCAGTGTTTTTTACCATTTTTTTCCCTACTAATGTTGACTCTCTAATCAAATCTTTAGCTGTACTTATTGTTTTGCATTCTTACACAAATATCCTTTGCCGATTCTCCAAAATGTCTCAATGGGACGGAACTGTGTGCAGATTAATGGATTCAAGCTTTTTGGTATGAATTTGAAGCTTCTCAAATTGTACCAGTTTTCTTAAAATAATGACAAGAAGCAAGATTAGGCCAGAACTAACATGGGACATCGTGATTTCGATAATATTGCAAAAGTCTAGCTTGCAAGTATTCTTTGATGTAAAAATCCGGGTTTAAAGTTGACGATCTGACAAAAGCTCAAGATCTCAAACCACAGCTGTATATTGCTTGCCAAAATTTAATCTTTAAAAAACTCTGAAACTTTATACCTTTTGGCTTGTTCTTTGTTCGATAAGCCGGGGTTTTGATTGATGATCGTCGGATACTAATGGCTGCTTTCTTATCCTTAAAGCCACTCTTTCTTCCAGATCCTTTTGCTCGTTCGATAGATAGAGAGCTCATGTATTGTTTTATGCCCATACAAGCAATAGTTTTGCTAGATTCAGATGCTTTAGCGGTTGAAAGTAACGATGCAGAAAAATTAGGTAGATTGTTGTGCAGACTTTTTTTTTTTAACTGTTTCAATCACAATTTAATTAATAGAAACATTTTGACTCGATTGTTGATGTTTTTAATTAATACTATAATTACTTAAAGTAATTACGTAAAAAAAATACATTAAAAGTGTGTTAGTGACAAGTTTTAAAACGAAAATCATCGTTTCAAGTTTAACGATCGCATTCTTTAATATAGTTTTGAAGATATCAACAACCTTTTTTTTTTTTTTTTTTTTTTTCCATATCTTTTTTACAACTACATAGCTTTAACAATACATACTTTTATTACAAATAGTTTTAACAATATATATACTTTTATTACAAATACAGTCAAAATGCTTTGAAAATAACTGAAATAATACTAAGATATATTTGATGTACAAAGTAATAAAATAATGTAAAATAGTTTTTCAGTTTATACTTTGAAAAAACAAAAAAAGTCTTAAAAAAAGAAAAATTAAACCTTTACCCAGCGGGCATTTTGACGTCCTAAGGACGTCCGTAAGACGTCTTAGGTCTCGTCGGTAAGACATCCTTAGTTAGTCTCAAATGAAAGGCTTGAGGACGTCTATTCCAGACGTCCTTAAGACGTCTTTTCAAGACGTCCTAGAGACGTTTTTTGCACACGTTTTAGAGACGTCTCTGGTTTGCCTCATATGAAAGACTTAAGGACGTCTTTTTCAGACGTCCTAGAGACGTTTGAGTTTTACCAAGACATTCTTTTAAAAGTTATATAAAAATGCAATGATTTACAACACACACCTTAGATTTGCCTTAATCTAGGCGAGGGAAGTTATAAAAAGAAATCAATGTAAATTAAGTTTAATTTGATATATTTAAAATAAATTAATAACTTTACAAAAAATAAGAATAATTTTTCAAACAAAGTTACATTTTTCAAATTAAAAAATAATAGGTACTGTAGAATATAATCGATAGTGCATTATTAATAGAAGAAAATTGCTTAAAAATGGAAAAAAAAAAAAAAAAAACACAACAGTTAATTAAGCCATTATTGATCAAAATTCATATTAGTTGATGTTCTCTTTATTCGGTCAGAAGAATGCCTAATTACTCTCCCAATAAGTTGGATGGCATCCATTTTGGTTAAGTTTTTATTTGACTTTAAAGCATCTTCTAATAAAAACAACAAAACATGTTTCAACAAGATCATAAAATAAAATATACATGTCATGTATACATACACTTAAATACATGTCATGTTCCATAGCCAAAAAAATTAAATATTTTTTTTTTTTATTTAAATTAAAACATCATTTTTAATTTTTTATTAATCAAACACATTAATAAGCTAATAAGAATACCAGTGACAGCGTAACATAGACATGTCAACTCTTTAAACTTTTTTTTCTTTTTTAGACAATTCATGCTGTATTCTGACAAAATAGTGTCTGTTGACAGTCTACATATATAAAAAAGAAGATAAATGCTGTACTGTTATAAATGTTCAAATTCAACATAAACTTTTGCTAATTACTTACAAGAGCGAAATATTTTTAATTGTATCAGTTAGATTTTTACCGCCAATTAATACAACTGTTTTACCTAAAAAAAAAACAATGTATAAGAAACATTGAAAATGTTTATGACAATTTGAAATAAATATTGTAAAAATATAAAACATATAAACTATAAAGATGAAACTCATGTATACAAAAGTGATGTATTGGATATCTCCATTTGCGAATTTCTTATTCAAAACAT